GAAATGTTCTGAAATGTATTTTACAGGAATTGTTGTTTATGTTAATATTCTGAATATACAATAAAAAATTTAAATTAAAAAAAAAAAAAAGAGCTGTTCTCGCAAGAGCAGAGCTCTCTCAGCCCCACCTGCCTCACGTGGAGATTGTAAGCCGCTCTTGAGACTCTGAGTGAAGGGCGGGGTACAAATCCAACTTCTTCTTCAAAGCCCCCATGCTCCAAAAAAAAAATTAAAATCTCACTAGTCTCTAAGGGGCTCGAATCTAGAAAGCACAAACTGAAGAGACCACCCCCTCCCCCACGTATAGCTTAGAGTTGCCATCTTTTGAAAAGCAAAAAAAGGGGACATATTTCCCGACTGACTACTTCAAACAAATGATCACGACGACAACTCTCACTTTAAATACCCCCTACCAGTGCTGCCTCTAAGCTGTGGAGTCCTGTGAGCAAAAATTCGACTTTGTGAGCTGCCGGCATCAACGTTGCGAGTGAGCAATTTGGCTCCTGCGTCAATTAGTTTGCACCGGAGCCATCCTCCCCTGAGCGAAGACAAAAATGTGTGAGCCGGGGGGCTAAACAATGGTGAGCCAGCTCACACTAACTCAGCTTAGAGGGAACACTGCCCCCTACTCTTTCGGCTGTGATCATTGCTGCTAGCTAGGAATGTTCCTGACCCTTCCGACCCCCAAAGAGGATGTTTTCATCAGCCTTTCAAAAAGAGCCCAAGATACCAAAAAAAAGAGGACATGGCCTCTTAAAAGAGGACATCTGGTAAGCCAAACATACATAACGGGCATTTGTGTTTTCAAGAACCGTCCAACTGTTCGGCAGAGCATGTTCTCCTGACTCATCTCTTGGCGTTCTCGGAAGCCAAACCTTCCTGTTTCGAACGGTTACTCACTGTTTCCAGATTCCAGTACAAAAGGAACCCTCTGGCTCTTAGCAGTTGACTGAGCGGGTGGGGCGGTGTGTGTGTGTGTGTGGGGTGTCGAGGAGCACAATGTCCCCTTTCTGGTATTGTCTTCCGATGCCTGGAGAAATGGGCGCGTGAGCGTCCCGCGGCCAGGGATGTCTGACCGAATGGAAAGCGTGAACGGGATTTTTCCTCCTCGAGAACAGAACAGAAAACCTCCCATTTCCTCGGTGCAAACGTCTCCATGCAACCCCGGCCAGGCACTTGGGGAAAGTCTGTTGGTCGCGCTGCAAAAGCGACTGCGGGTCCGGAGCTCAGCTGGGTTGCCACAAATGGACCACAGTTGACTAACCAGAGGTTGCAACCAATGCTCCCCTCTAAGCTGTGGAGTCTTGTGAGCAAAAAAAAATTCTACTGGCCTTAAAGTGGTGAGCGAGCGATTTGGCTGCTGCATACATTAGCTTGCTCTGCAGCCCTCCTTCCTGAGCTAAGGCAGAAATGTGTGAGCCAGAGGCTAAAAAACTGTGAACTGGCTCACACTAACTCAGCTTAGAGGAAACATTGGTTGCAACCCACCAATGTTCACTGTGAAACATTGATTCAAGTCCAATTACAGTCCATGAATTTGCTTCTTCTTCTTTTGTTTCTTTTATCTCATGCAGTGCTGCTGCTTCTGCTTCCAACAATTGCCGTGCGACTACAGATTTCCCGGGTACACAATCTGCGACCTGACGAAGCATTGAGGGAAACAGACCGTTTACCCGGGAAATCTGTAGTCCCATGGCAATGGTTGGAAGCAGCAGCAGCAGCACTGCATGAGATAAAAGAAAGAAACAAAAGAAGCAGCAGCAAATCCGTGGACTGTAATTGTACTTGAATCAGTTTCTCACAGTGAACATTGCTGAGTTGCCAACTTCCAGGTGGTGGCTGTTGATCTCTCACTATTACTGCTGATCCCCAGGTGACGGGTCTGTTTCCCTGGAGAATACGGCCGCTTCGGAAGGTGGACTCTGTGGCACTATATCCCATTTGAAGTTCTTCCCCCCCTCAGGCTCCAACCCCCCCCCCCAGATCTCCAGGTATTTCCCAACCCGGAGCTTGCAACCGAAGCTCCGTGGGCCTTGCCTGGCTTTCCCTCCCACGTAGGACTTGTTTAAAATTTGGCACATATTTGGTGTACACCAGTTTGGTGTCATGGTTAGGAGCACGGATTCTAATCTGGGAGAACCGGGTTTGAGGCCCCCACTCCTCCGCATGCAGCTGCTGGTGTGACCTTGGGTCAGTCACAAGTTCTCTCGGAGCTGTTCTCTCAAGGGAAGTCCTTGAAAGAGCTCTCTCAGCCCCACCCACGTCACAGGGTATCTGTTGTGGGGCAGGAAAGGAGACTGTAAGCCGCTCTGAGACTCCGGCATGATTTTTACTCTTGAGATAAGATCGTGTTCAGTGCTATTTTCCGGGACTGGACCTGTCCTGGGAAGATGAACGGCTCTGGCACCGCTGGAATGCTTCAGTGGGGGGAGAAAACCTTGCCAGAAAAGGATCTGTGAGAATACTGAATGCCGAAGTGCTGTGATGATATCCTGGCCCCGGGCCAGCCTCTCCTTTAGTCCTTTCTAACGCTCTTGCCCCCCCCATTCCCGCCACAGGCTCTGGATGGTGAGCGCACGACCCCCCAGCAGATGGCGCAGCCGATGCGCGCCCCGCCCTACGCATACCCGCCTGGTGCACAGCAGCCATGGGGACCGACAGTAACAGTTCAGTTTCTCGGAGGGGAAAAGCCAGCCCGGGGCATTCTGGGCAGAGAAGCCACCCTGTGGAATTCAGTAGGCCGCTTCACGCTTGTCTAGCTCTGCTTGGGGCTGGATTGCTGCTTGCCGTGAGGCTGCTGCGGGTCCCTTGTTTATTGGGACTGCTGGTTCACCGAAGGGGCGTAAGTCCCTGTAGGGCCCCGCTTCTAGCCCGCCCCTGGTTTTCTATGTCCTAAGCCCCTCCTGAAAGTTTCTTCCCACTGTACTATGCAGAGTAGTTGTTTGCTAATACCCAAACCAGCATTGACAGCTGTGGCCACATCCACACAGTATTGGATATTGTGTTCTCTGAACTTTGGGGTTCAGAACAGTAAGCCAGTTGACTAGCAACTACACATTTGGACAAATACTCCTGTAAGCTCGCTGAGAGACTTAGTTTGGTGTGGCGGTTAGGAGTGTGGACTCTAATCTGGGAGAACCGGGTTTGATTCCCCACTCCTCCACATGCAGCTGCTGGTGTGACCTTGGGTCAGCCACAAGTCCTCTCAGAGCTGTTCTCTCAAGGGCAGTCCTCAAAAGAGCTCTCTCAGCCCCACCTAGCCCCACAGGGTGTCTGTTGTGGGGAGGGGAAGGGAAAGGAGATTGTAGGCCGCTCTGAGACTCCAAATGAAGTATAAATCAAATATCTTCTTCTTTGGTTAGGAAGCCAGTTTGATGTTGTGGTTAGGAGCGCGGACTCTAATCTGGGAGAACCGGGTTTGATTCCCTACTCCTCCACATGCAGCTGCTGGTGTGACCTTGGGTCAGTCACAAGTCCTCTCAGAGCTGTTTCCTCAAAGACAGTCCTCGAAAGAGCTCTCTCAGTCCCACCTCCCTCACAAGGGTGTCTATTGTGGGGAGGGCAAGGGAAAGGAGATTCTAAGCCGCTCTGGGACTCCTTTGCGTAGTGAAGGGCGGGGTATGAATCCAGTCTCTTCTCTTCTGAAGCCTTTGACTCCCCTCTCCCCATCGGTTCCTCTCCCTAAAAAAAGTGACCAGTAACTAGAATCTGTGCAGAACCGGAATCAGGGACTACTTTGGGACAATCCGTCCCGCAAGTTGCAAAACCCACCTCTGGGGCTCCCGGGGATGGTGTGGTAAGATTCTCGCTAGCTTAGCCAGCAGCTGCTAGGGCTACCCTGACGAATGTGGGTCCGGATTGCTATGGGATGGGGCCCGCCAGGCTAGCGCTGCTTGCTTCCAAACGGCCAGCCGCCACTTACGGCTGCATCCATTCCCGCCCCACTTTTCTCCTCCGCTAAGCCAGCTTTTTGTAATTGCATTTGGGAACTCGTTTTGGCCAGCAGCGAGGGGGGCATCCTTTGAAGCCAGGTCTCTTAACCGCTTCCAGCTCTTTGCCCAAATAAACCAGCTGCCCTCACTTCCCCAGGTGGTGTGGCACCTTTCCCTTCGCCCCCCGCACGGCCACCTGGCCTGGGGGATGCCGGGACAAGACTTGAGCTAGGAGCGGCCTTCCCATTAACTGTTAAGTGCCTGGCCGAACCAAAGCCTAGCTTTGCAAGCTTCCGCAGCGCTTTTCGCCGAGGGGTCGGAGGTTGGAAGCGCTTCGCCTGCCCCCGCGAGATCCCAAAGCGGTTCCTTTTGTGGCGGTGGCAGCTTGGCCACTCTCTCTCTCTCTCCCGCCTCCCTCCCAGCCGTCTTGGGCGCTCACGCAAACAGGGCCGCTTGGCCACCGGCTTTCCCCCGCACCTGAATTCCAGGGGAGGGAAGAGGCGTCCAGAATGCAGCAGGGCCTCGTCTTTTCCCAGGGTGTCTTTGTCTGAGATCACGTCCCTCCATCTCTCGATGCGGGGAAGGGGCGGGCCATCACGCTTCGTGTTGTCTTTGTGTCGACGCCTCCGCTGCCGGGACGGCTCGGCCCTGTCCGGGTCAGGCCGTGCCGTGTCCCCGTCTTAGCCGGGGAAGGGGCGCGGGGGAGTATTTGGGGGCTGCATCTTTCCTCCCTTTGTCCACAAGAAGAGTTTGTTTGGGGGGAGGGTAGCGCCCAATGTAGCTCTACTGAACTTGACTGCCACCTTGTCCTTGGGAAGGACTATTGCCCACAGGCAAGTCCGTAGCCAGGATTTTGTGACCTGCGGGGCAAAAAGTTTTCTGGCGGGGCTGCCATTTATTTTTACGTCGGTCCCAAGCAATGCTCCCTCTAAGCCATGGAGTCCTGTGAGCAAAAATTTGACTTTGTGAGCTCCCGGCATTCAAGTTGTGAGCAAACGATTTGGCCACTGCGCAAATTAGTCTGCTCTGGAGCCCTCCTTCCTGAGCTGAGATAGAAATGTGTGAGCCGGTGGCTAAAAAACTGTGAGCTGGCTCACACTAACTCAGCTTAGAGGGAACACTGGTCCCAATCCTCCCCCAAGCCTGACCACCGGGAGGCCACCTCTCTCCCTCCCCGCCTGCAAGATTTAAAGGGCCCTTCAGCTGATTGGGGGGGGGAGCACATGGCCCGCTGATCAGCCAGAGGGCCCTTTAAATCGTGCAGGAGGGGAGGGAGAGGGGTGCGCGCCCCCCGCTTCTTCTCAAAAGCATTTAAAGGATCCCTTTAAATTATATTGAGAAGAAGCTGGGGGGGGGCACTATGCGTGTGCCTCCCCAATTCTTTCTTTTTTTAACTTCTAAAAAAACATCCTGTGGGGCTGGTTCTATAAGGAAGGGGGCACAGCCCCCAGTAACCCCCACTATAGCTATGGGCCGGCCCACAGGTAGAACTGGTGAGGCAAGTTTTTATGTCAATTGATTGATTTTTAAGCTGCTTGATCTCATGTGAGCCACGCTGGAGCGGAAAGCGTCCCGTTCTTTTAAAGCAGCCGAGTGCTTTGTGCAGGAGGGGGAAGGGAACCACGACGTCCGCTGCAAGATTCACGGTTTCATAAGCGCGGGCTGGACCCAGCCGAGGCATCCAGTCTACAACGGGGGGCAGTGCAGCATAAAGACAGTTGTCGAGTAGGGATGTGCATTCAGTCTGAACCGAAGGCACCCCTGAAAACAGTCTCTTCAGCCCTCTTTCGGGCAGCCCCAGGCCAAATCAGATTCTCATTCAGCGGCAGCCCAAAAAACGGCCAGAGAAAGCAAGCTGGCCCTTGGAGGGGCTTGCCCGGGCAAGCCGGCCCATGGCTTGGAGGGAAGGCAGTGTTTAAACTGCCTTACCTTGGCTTGCCCGGGTGCCCCGTGGTTGTGGGGAGCCCAGGCAAGCTGGCCTATGGAGGGATGGCAGTTTTGCCTCCCCCCCCCACCCCGCGGCTGAAAGTGATTCGGCTTGCCGAATGACTCCTGAACCCGCTTGCATTGCCGAATATTTTTTTATTTTTTGCACACCCCTATTGTGGAGAGAAAGAGAGCTCGACCTGGAAAAGCCCAAGCGAGCCCGATCTCGGAAGCCAAGCAGCGTCAGCCCCAGTTAGCACTTGGATGGGAGACCTCCGAGGAATACCAGGGTCGTGACGCAGAGGCAGGCAATGGCCAACCACCTCTGAACTCCTCTTGCCCCGAAAACCCTACAGGGTCACTGTACGTCAGCTGTGACTTGATGCCAAAAAAGCTGCAACAGAGAGGGAGAGAGAGCAACTTCTATACAGATTGAGCCCTGCCCGCAGTGGCTTTCTGTCGGTAATAGGGCCGTGCATGATTTTCCTATCCCCATGGCCAGGAATTAGCCCGTTTGGCCACAGGAATCGGAAAAGGCTGCTCTCCAAGTAAGAGAGGGGGGTGTCCTGGCAAGACCGTTTTGCCCGGTGCCAAGAAGCATGACGCATGGCTCCCAAAAGCAGCGTTGGATACTTCTGAAGGAAGCACGGGCTGTCGGCCCTCTTGCAACCGCATGGCAACCGAAGCAGCTGCGAATGCAGTCTTGTCCGTTTATACTTCTGTTTTTTTAAAAGTGCAACTTCCGGGAGAGGAAGTGTATAGTAATTGTCTCCTGGCTGCTTTCTGGAGCGTAGATCACACGTGCCGAAATGATAATTCTGGATTATGGATTGTAGAACTCTTTCATGAAGCTGGTACTGAAGGAAGCACGGGCTGTCGGCCCTCTCGCAACCGCCTGGCAACCGAAGCAGCTGCGAATGCGGTCTTGTCCGTTTCTGCTTCTGTTTTTCAAAAGCGCAACTTCCGGGAGAGGAAGTGTACAGTAATTGTCTCCCGGCTGCTTTCTGGAGCATAGATCACACGTGCCGAAAGGATAATTCTGGATTACGGATTGTAGAACTCTTTCATGAAGCTGGTTATTGGGAGTTCTGTCTGGTACTGACAGCGCTAACAGGCATTTGACACAAAGACCCCCCCCAAAAAAACCTGAAATACGGGTGCTGAAACACTCCTTAGCAGATGTTTAGTTCAAAGCTCTGATTTGGAAACTCCGAAAAGTTTTGAGTTGCAAGGAATGGAGTCTGTCAATCAACTTGTCAGAGTCCATCTTTGCAAATTGAAACTTTTTTTTTAACAGTTGACCCTCTAGGCTGTGTTTGTCTCCCTAGGTGTGACTAGGGCCAGGACAGGGGGTAGAGAGAGGCTTTCTCCTGCTGTCTTTGTCTGCTCCGTGTTCCATCGCTGTTCACAAACTCAGCATTGCCCCCCCCCCCACCCCTCTCTGTTACCCCCACCCTCTGTTTTGATTTTCAACTCTCTTTTGGGTGGTGGACCTCGGGGTCCCTCTTTTGTCTTCCAGGCGACGGATCGTCCCGTGAACGGGCTGGATGCCGGATTGCGGCCTTTCGACCTGGTCATCCCTTTCACCATCAAGAAAGGAGAGATAACAGGTAATGGGGGGAAGGCTGCATTTGGTGGGGTGCCAGGCAGTCCGGCCCTAAGCGTGCATTGAAGTTAATCTCTTCTTGGGATTGCACCGTTAATACTGCATATTTATTTATTTATCATTTAAATTTATGGGCCGCTCTTCTCCGAGTACGCAGACCTCAGGGCGGTGAACAACAGTAAAAAAAAAACAACACCCCATGCATTAAAAAAAATCCTGACAATTCAATAAATAACCAAATTGGGGTCCCCAGCATTTTTGAGCCCGTGTGCACCGTCGGTGTTCTGAAACAGCAGTGAGTACGATCGATGCTCCCTCTAGGCTGTGGAATCTCGTGAGCAAAAATTCTACTTTGCGAGCTACCGGCATTAAAGTAGTGAGCCGAGCAATTCGGCTACTGCATCAATTAGTTTGGTCTGGAGCCGTCCTTCCTGAGCTGAGACAAAAATGTGTCAGCCGGAGGCTGAAAAACTGTGAGCCAGATCACACGTAACTCAGCTTAGAGGGAACACCGGGTACGATCAATGGCTGCTGCAGAAGGCGAAGCCAACCAGAAAATGTCAAGGAGCCAGGTTATCGATAACTTAATAATAATTCAACATGTCAGGCAGAAGCTGTGTTTAACAGGATGCCTTATAATCTGCACATCCCGTCAGAAGCCCTGCTGGGCAAATGAACACATGAAACTGCCTTCTACTGAATCAGATTCTTGGTCCATCAAAGTCAGTCTCGTCTACTCGGACTTGGCAGTGGCTCTCCAGGGTCGCAGGCAGAGAAAGATCTTTTGCATCCCCTCCTGCCTGGCCCTTTTAACTGGAGATGCCGGGGATTGAGCCTGGGACCTTCTGCAGGCCAAGCAGAGGCGCTTCCACTGAGACAGGGTCTCAGGTCGAGGTCTTTCCCATCACCTCCTGCCTGGTCCTTTTAACTGGAGGTGCCGGGGCTTGAACCTGAGACCTTCTGCATGCCAAGCAGAGGCTTTACCTCTCAGTCAGGGTCTCAGGTCAAGGTCTTCCCCATCACCTCCTGCCTGATCCTTTTCTAACTGGAGATTCCAGGGACTGAACCTGGGGTCTACTACATGCCAAGTATATGCTCTCCCACTGAGCCACAGCCCTCGCCGCCACCAAATACCCAATCTAGCTCCTGGCACTTTCTAAAAGTACTTGGCAGGCGCCCGAAAAGGTCGTTCAGGTGCCCACGGGCACCACGTTGGGGACCCTTGCTGTATAGTCTACCAGGTTTCCCGCAAGGGGTGCTCAGCCCGGCAGAGCCCATAAGCGCTGCTTCCTGTTCCTGCAGGGGAGGTGCGCATGCCGTCGGGGAAGGTGGCAAAGCCAGACATCACAGACAACAAGGATGGCACCGTGACAGTGCGGTACGCCCCCACGGAGGCCGGCCTGCATGAGATGGACATCCGTTATGACAACATGCACATCCCAGGTAACGTTTTGGGGGGGAGGAGTCATGACAGAAGGCTATCAAAATTTGATGGAGGCCAATTTTGCGGGAGATGCTTGGAATTCTTCGATGATGCCAGTTTTTGCCCGGTCCTCTTAACTGGAGATGCCAGGGATCGTACCTGGGACCTTCTGCACGCCAAGCAGAAGCTCTAACACTGAGCTATGGCTCCTCTCCGAAGGATCTCACATGAACACATGAATCTGCCTTCTACTGAATCAGACTCTTGGTCTATCAGGTTCAGTATTGTCTATTCAGATTGGCAGTGGCTCCTCAGGGTCTCTGGCAGAGAACTCTTTTTACATCCCATCATCCATTGAGAGCCAGTTTTGTGTAGTGGTTAAGTGTGTGGATGCTAATTTGGGAGAACCGCGTCTGATTCCCCGCTCCTCCACTTGCAGCTGCTGGTGTGACCTTGGGTCAGTCACAAGTTCTCTTAGAACTGTTCTCTCAAGGCCAGTTCTGGAAAGAGCTCTCTCAGCCCCACCTACCTCACAGGGTGTCTGTTGTGGGGAGGGGAAGGGAAAGGCGTTTGTAAGCTGCTCTGAGACTCCGAGTGAAGGGCAGGGGGGTATGAATCCAATCTCCTCTTCTTCTTCCTTCCACCCCCGTAGGCAGCCCTCTGCAGTTCTACGTGGACTACGTAAACAGCGGGCACGTGACAGCGTACGGACCCGGGCTCATCCACGGTGTGGTTAATAAGCCAGCAGTTTTCACGGTCAACACCAAAGACGCGGGTGAAGGTGAGTTTAAGAGCACATCCCTGACGTAAGAACATAAGAGAACATAACATAAGGACATGAGAGAAGCCACGTGTTAGTATAAAGAGGTATATTGTGCTCACTTTTTATGTTATACACCTTTTTTATTTTGGGTTTGTTTTTTTATTTAAGGACATAAGAATAGTAAATATAATTTAAAAGTATACTCATTGACAATGCTTCCTCTAAGCTGTGGAGTCTTGTGAGCAAAAATTCTCCTTTGTGAGCTACTGGCATTAAAGTTGTGAGTGAGCGATTTGGCTGCTGCATGAATTAGAGCCCTCTTTCCTGAGCTAAGGTAAAAATGCATGAGCTGGAGGCTAAAGGACTCTGAGCTGGCTCACACTAACTCAGCTTAGAGGGAACACTGCCCATTGACTATAAAATATATATCAACATGTGTTAAACATAAACAATGATATAAAGCCCTCGTCAAAGCCTTCGACAGCATGATGAGATAGTTCCTTTTGAATTTCCTTCTGATTAGAAAGACAAGTTAAGAGGGGTGACCAGATTTTCTTAAACTCTTAAGAGTGCTCCAGTTGATATCGTCCGATCCAAATTAAAAGTAAGCCTAGCTAAAACACAGTGATTCCATCGTCGTGTACAGGGCTTTTTTTGTAGAAAAAGCCCAGCAGGAACTCATTAGCATAACAGGCCACACCCACAACAGTTGAAACCTATTAGCATATTAGGCCACACCCCACCACCACAGCTCATTAGCACATTAGGCCGCACCCCCATGTTACCAGAAGTGTGGTCCTCCAGCCACACCCACCTTTTGCTTCTTATTCTGTTTACCTTGTTTGTTGTCAAAACCCCAGGGCCTTTTTTTGTAGCAGGGACTCCTTTGCATGTTAGGCCACACACCCCTAATGTAGCCAATCCTAATGAGTTTCTGCTGTTGGGTGTGGCCTATTATGCTAATGAGTTCCTGCTGGGCGTGGCCAACTCGGGAGCCAGCCGGAACTCCGTTCCTGTGCGTTCCTGCCCCAAAATAGCCCTGGTCGTGTATGCCGTATGTATAGAGTCGGGGCAGTTGAGATTTTCAAACGAGAAGCTATGGCGAGTTTAGCGGCCGATAAAAGGATCGCAATAACATTAGTTATCCATTGAGGTCAATCTTTATTCCAATTTGCTCCTAATAGGAGGCATTCCGGAGTCAATTCTAGTGTCATGCCCGTCATTGTTGTAACCATCTCCAAACTTGCTTGTCCAAACCATCTCCAAACAGTATCAATACTGGACAGGTCAACCAGCAGTGGACATAAGTTCCAACTGACCTGCATTT